AAAAAAGAGTACAGTGGGAAACAATAGAATGATTTTTTTTTTGAGACGGAGTTTCTCTCTTGTTGCCCAGGCTGGAGCACAGTGGCACCATCTGGTCTCACTGCATCCTCTGCCTCCTGGGTTCAAGTGATTCTCCTGCCTCAGCCTCCCAAGTAGCTGAGATTATAGGTGCCTGCCACCTCACCTGGCTAATTTTTGTATTTTTAGTAGAGACGGAGTTTCACCGTGTTGGCCAGGCTTGTCTTGAGCTCCTGACCTCAGGTGATCTGCCTGCCAGCCTCCCAAAGTGATGGGATTTCAAGTGTGAGCCACTGTGCCTGGCTGGAATGATTTTTAAGTAGGGTTGTAAAATGGTCTGAGTTGACGTTTAATGGAGATCACTTTTTTTTTTTTTTTTTATACAGAGTCTTGCTCTGTTGCCCAGGCTGGAGTGCAGTGGCATGATCTTGGCTCACCGCAACATCTGCCTCCCAGGTTCTAGTGATTCTCATGCCTGAGCCTCCCTAATAGCTGGGATTGTAGGCTTGCACCACCACACCCAGCTAATGTATTTTTAGTAGAGACAGAGTTTCGCCATGTTGGTCAGGCTGGTCTCGAACTCCTGACCTCAAGAGATCTGCCCACCTTGGCCTCCCAAAGTTCTGGAATTACAGGCATGAGCCACCATGCCTAGCCAGTTTTGGTTTATTTTGAGACAGAGTTACGCTTTTGTTGCCCAGGCTGGAGTGCAATGGTGTGATCTCGACTCACTGAAGGCTCCGCCTCCCTAGTTCAAGTGATTCTCCTGCCTCAGCCTCCCAAGTAGCTGGGATTACAGGTACCCGCCACCACGCCCAGCTACTTTTTTGTATTTTTAGTAGAGATCGGGTTTCACCATGTTGGCCAGGCTGGTCTTGAACTCCTGATCTCAGGTGATCCACCCGCCTCGGCCTCCCAAAGTGCTGGGATTACAGGCATGTGCCACCGCAACTGACTGACTTTTTGTTTTTTTGACTTGAATACTTGGGTTGATGGTGGTTTTGTTTATTATTAAGAGGAATACTGATGAGAAAACAGGAGAGGTTATTTTGTTTTGTGGGGAGGACAATTTGAGAATCAAGTTCTGTTTGACCTACTTAAGTTTGAGATGCTTGTTAAACATCCAAGAAAAAATGTTAGTAGACAGCTTTAAATAGGCACGCGGTGCTCAGAAGAGAGGTTCAGGCTAGAGAAATAAATTAAATATGGAATTCATCAGCGAGTAGTATATTTATCAATATCAAAACCTTTTTTTTTCACTTTCCTACTTCTAAGAGAGCAGATACATTTTGTGATCATTGTAGGTCAGGTAAGAATCATGACATATTTGTCATTTGCTGTAGGAGTGTGCACAGGCAGACTGAAAAATCTGGAGACAATATTGGAGCATTGTTGTGACCTTCAAAAACCCAATGATTTGGAGGGAGGGAAGGCAGAAGCAGTGATTCATACCAGTTATGGGCTTTCCTGGAGCAGAAGCCAAAAGTAGTTAGCTTTATATAATTGAGACCACAGCATCATTAGCTATTAGTTCTTTTAAGAAATGCATTGTATATTTCCAATAGCCAAGAGAGGAATTTGAATGTTCCCACAGCAAGGAAATAATGTTTATGGTGATAGATATGCTAATTACCATGATTTGATCATTAAACAGTATATGCACATATTGAAACATTGCATTGTACCCCATAAATATGTACTATTATGTGTGAGTAAACAGAAAAAAGAAATGCTACATCACCGACACTCTATGGCACAGAGAATGATGTGGTGTGAAAAAATATAGACATTCCACAACTCAGAGGAGTTGTACTTTGAATAGAGGAGTTGTACTCTGAAGTTTTAGAAGTACTTTCACCAATTTATTTTGTTTATATTTATGTTTACAAAAATGATGTATGGTAAAAATCTGCCTACATCTGAACTTTTTCTTAAATTTATTTTTATTTTTCCGGTAATGGCTATAAGCAAACAGCCCTTAATCATTATAACAATTCTGTTAAAAATGCATTGTGTTATACATAGTTTATTTATTTAAATAGAGACAAGGTCTCATATTGACCAAGCTGATCTCAAACTCCTAGTCTCAAGAGATCTGCCCACCTTGGCCTCCCAAAGTGTTGAGATTATAGGCATGAGACATTGTGCCCAGCCTGTTATACATAGTTTAATAGGCAGTTTTCACTTAGCAATAATTTTTAAAATGTTATTTCTTAGAGCTGATAGATCTTAGATTCAGTGAAATACAGTAAGTGATAGTTAAAGCCAGGAAATATAGGACTACCTAGGCTTAGAGATTTTATAAAGAATTAGTTTAATAGAATCTACCATGTACACAGCTTGCCTCACCAAACTTCCTCTTCATCTTTTAAGACTCAATTCAGTGATCACATTCCTCAGAAAAGCCTCTAACACCCTTCATCCCTAACCCTGGTGGCTAAGTACAGAATTTTAAAATGAAGCCATAGATAAGCAAAATGGTGATCACTTTATCTACTGTGATTTTATTTCCCCTCTGTGCTTCTAAGGAGAAAGAAATGTGGAAGGTTATATAGTAGGTGTGTATTTGAAAGGAATCCAAGAGTGATGGTTGGAATAAGTGCCATCTTAATTTTCTGGTGATTTGTGCTAACCAAGTATTTCCATCCCCCTGTCTCCCCACTTCTTTTTTGTTTGTTTGTTTTTGTTTTTAAGGAAAGCCCAGAAGAAAGGACAGTAAACGTGAGCTCTATTCGGGTAAATAAATTTACTTTCATCATATTGAGGGATTTCATACAGCTTAATTTCATCAAGAGAATTTAGACCTTTCCTTTTTTCTAAATCTTAAGCCTGCTGCCTCCACAAAGTCAAAATGAAGTGTTTACCTTCCAAATTCATTCCAGTGACTTTAATGTGAATTTATTGGCACTTACTCTTTCTAGTCTTCTCTAGGATATAACTTTTCGTAGTTTGACTCTTGCTGTTGTGACCACACATTGTCTTATTTTATATAAGTACAGTTGCATGTATATAAAGTGTGACTGTAATGAGACTGATTTAACAAAACTGTACATAGGCTGGGCATTGTGGCTCTTGCCTGCAATCCCAGCACTTGGGGAGATTGAGGCAGGAGGAGCTCTTGAGGCCTAGATTTTTTTTTTTTTTTTTT